CACAATAGACAGGTATCATTGTGTAGTTAATACATCCTGTCTAGTAGTTTAAACGTCTTTATAAGACACAATAGACAGGTATCATTGTGTAGTTAATACATCTTGTCTAGTAGTTTAAACGTCTTTATAAGACACAATAGACAGGTATCATTGTGTAGTTAATACATCTTGTCTAGTAGTTTAAACGTCTTTATAAGATACAATAGGCAAGTATCACTGGGAAGTTAACACATCTTGTTTGGTAGTTTAAGATTCTTTAAAGATACAATAAACAGGCATCATTGTGTAGTTAATACATCTTGTCTAGTAGTTTAAACGTCTTTATAAGATACAATAGACAGGTATCATTGTGTAGTTAATAGTTCCGTTGTCTGTATAGTACCTAGAGTACTCGATCACTTTAGTGGGCTAACCCTCGATTTTATAGTCTTGTATATTTTCATACAATTCTACTTGATACATAATATATTGTTATTCACTGTGTTACATCGTTACTCTGTCTCATTCTTTTTAAAGATTCTTCGTTTCTTTGAACTTTTTTCATCTCTTTTATTTTCTGTTTTTGGCGGAGCTTTTATTTTCCAATCTTCTATACAGTTGTTAATTCTTGAACTTAATGGCATGGTTTTCTACCAGTTTATCTTTTTATTTTTAATAGTATAAAAGTTCATAGAGTTTTAGATATATACCAAACACGGTCTTGTGTAAAACCTACTTAAGTTGGTATGGTAGGCCTCTAACTAAAATTGGTATTTTATAAAACCAACTAAAATGGGTATGGTAAGACTCTTATCCAAACTCGGTCTTTTATTAAACCAACTAAAGACTAAAATGGGTATTGAAGAACTGTTACCAAACTCGGTCTTTTATAAAACCAACTAAAGACTAAAATGTGTATTAAAGAACTGTTACCAAACTCGGTGTTTTATTAAACCAACTAAAGTGGGCGTGGCAGGACTATTATCTAAACTCGGTCTTTTATAAAACCAACTAAAGACTAAAATATGTATTAAAGAACTGTTACCAAACTCGGTGTTTTATTAAACCAACTAAAGTGGGCGTGGCAGGACTCTTATCTAAACTCGGT